CAGGAATCTACAAAATAAATCAGCTTTTTGAGGGGAGAAAGGAGGCAGTAGGCAGAGGGAAAGGAAGTATTAACTTCATTCCACCAAAAAAAAGTTACTTAAAAGGCTCCACACTTCCTGCTCAAAGTTATGAAAATTAGATACCTCAGATGGGATTAAGAAAAACGTTAGAAATAAAACTGCATAGAAGTACAAAAAGCAATCTCAAAAAAATTACTATCGATTTAGAAACCAGAACTGCTTCTGCAGTTCTACCAAGATGGGACAGTTTTATAAGAAATCAAGAGCATTTTTCAAAATCATATACATCCATACCACAACCACTCAGGATGCTTCAAAAACAAAACATGATTATATAAAGAAAATACAAATATGGTTCAGAGTGGTTGGAGCTACAGCTATAGTGACATCTGCCGTCACAAAAAAGTTTGGCTACACCAAAATAAAGATTAATACCTCTTTTGCTCATGGATATCTTAAATAAGATTCTTGAATTATATAAGCACAAAGGACAGCAACTAAAAAATTCAATCATCACCCTGTATTTAACAAACAAAAAGTTACTTTGAAAGAAGGTTCTCCCTGTTTCAGGTTTTAAGATGCAGGAACATCTTAAATAGCACATAAGTATATGCATTGTATGTACACATGCATACGAACACAAAGTTTTCATACAGAATATTTCATACAGAAATGCAAGCAAGTTTGGTAATAAGCTGTCTTTATAGGTTTAGTTCAGGAAATCTGAGTATTGTAATGAGCACACTGTATTAAGACAGCTGCCTTGAGCCATCCCAAGTATCAGAATCAGGACCAAATACAAATTGCTGCTTCTCATGATACCTACTCAGCAGCAAAATTTTCATAATATTACTTTCATTTACCTCCACTTGTCACAATGGAAAGAAGGTTTCCATCATCATATATATTCACAGAATAATTCAACATCTCAGATGTTCCAAAAGATCCATATTCCTGAGCCTCTTTGTAGGTTCTCAGTACCATACAACTACTTAAGTCACCACTCTCACTCGTGTCTATGCAGGCTCTGTTGACAAAAAGAAAAAAAAAAAAGGCAATTGTCCAGCTGCTGTAAACTTTCTGTTATTCCCTCCCCTGGCCTCCCTCAGCAAACAGTACCACAAAGACTTCAGGAAGTCTGGTTCTGTGTTTACAGTATCTTAGTTCTTTAAGTCAGTATCTTTAAACCTGGTTGTTTACACTTCAATTCAGAAACCAGAAAGATCTCTCTAAATAAACTTATTTTCAAATGCTACTAAATTCAAATAAATCTGTCTTTGAAAAGCAAGCATATGGAAATTCAGACAATTTCTTATAGGAAGAAATTTTACTAAAGCTAGCTGTTCAGTGCTGGTACACAAACATTTGAAGTCTTGCCTACTGCAATCTTGCCCACTGTTTTGTATGACGCATATTATCAGTCAAGAAAGTGCCATTATTACATATCCTGCAGTTTCTGCAAAGGCTTCTGTTTTAGTTGGGTTTGTTTTTTTTTTCCTATTACCAATGGATACACAAAGCAATTTTCCTCTGTCTCAGGAGAAAAATCCCCCAAGCTTACTCTTTATAGCATGCTGTCTTTAATAAGACTTCATTCTACATCTTCATTTGGGATTGGAACTTTCTCATGAAACTCAAGTGATACAGCAGGATTATTTTAAAGCAAATAATATTTAAGACCTCTACAAAAAGAGGGTAGATTTAAAAGCTAACAGTCTTCAATGCAAGCTGTTTTTTGTGTAGAACAAGACATTTTAAACAAGTTTAGGCATTTACCTCCAGGTCTCACCATCGTTCCATACTAGACAATCATATACTGGGCCAGGATCACTGTATTTTTTCTCAAAAGAATTCAATAGTTCCACTTGACTTTGAAGCTCTTCCTTTATTAGCTTATTTGCCTAATAAGCCAACAAAAATAGAGAGTATTTATAAAATTATTGCAAGACAGGTAATCTTATATTCCTTTCTGATGCTATACATTCGTTCTGTAACTTCAACAAGAATGTAAGACTATTCTAGGAGTTACAACATCCAGAAGTTTAATGGTCTTCAATAGAGCACTACATATTTTTGGCCTATTATGTATAACTATTTCCAATTTCTGTAATCGTAACATTTATGTTTAGAAGACTCCAACCTTGAACATAGCAAGGAGGACAGCCTCAAAAAATAGCATATTAAATTAAAACTTACTAAAAATATGCTATGAAGTATTTGAAGTAATGCTCTTCATATTTGACAAGTATAGAAAAAGTTAACACTAAGCAAATCAAACAACCATCCGTATATAGTCTTTTAAAATTAATCAGAAGATATACTTGTGATTATTTTAACAGATAACAGTATCTTTCCTTCACTCATCTAATGAAATATTTCAATCCTCTCAACCATTAACAAACTGTTGCAAACAACAAGTTCACAAATTATTTAATTTATACAAACCTGGGAGGGAGAGCTGTGAGCAGCATCAAATTCTTCTTGTTTCCTACAGGCCTCTGCTAGAGCCAGTCTGTGAATAGGATCCCAGAGCTTTTCCTTGCGTTCTTTCTGTAAAATCAAATCAGGTTCCTCAATATATTGACAAATACATACGTCAAAGTATGAAGACTACAAAAATAATTTGATTTGAGACACAATGGCTAAAAAAGGTCAATACAATGCTATAAATAAACATCAATTCCTACACAGCAAAAAAGAGCATCAGTAATTTCTAGGCTTTTTGCCTCAATGGATGACTGTGAGGACGACCAGGCCACCTCCTGTTGTTCTGAAAAAATCACAGAAGAAATGGATCATGCCAAAACTAAACTAAAACCAGTGAGAAAACAGCTCTCAAGCGCTGGCTAGCAGACGATGTATGATAGCAAATCACATACTCTGTTTTCCTAGAAAAACTTAAGAATCAGAACAGTGAGATATGACTGTATACCAGAAGGAAAATATAATTCCTTACCTGAATCCTCTCCTTAAGGGCTTTAGGATAGATATCATAGCCATTTTTTATGCCAATGTGATATCTGCCTGAAGGATTTACCCAGTTTGATGGAATCTACAGAAAAGTATATTCAGAAATAGGTTAACTAATGGATTTAAAAAAAAAATCAACACTGTGTAAGACAGCTTCGCAAAAGAGATTTGCAAATATCATCAATTTAAAATTCCCTGTCTCCATGACAGTAACTACCGCACTAAGTTTCAACAACACGACAGGGCAATTTCAATCTAGTTCCAAAGGAATCAGCATCAATTCCTGTGACACTGCCATTGAACACCTTTAACTATCAGTTACCCTGACACTCTACTTTTAAACATATAGCTCCAGCAGTGACTGTATTGGGTAGAGGTCTGGGGAAACAACAGCACTATAAATGAAAAGAAGCACCCTAGCATGAAGAGGTATTATGGTTAGAGGCCACAACATATCTGAATGACTAATTTCCTATCTTGCTGCAGTTGAGACTCCCAGTATATCAGATCCACTGTTTCTAGGATCAGCAGCAAAAGAGAGAAACAGATTGACCCTTACAATCATATTCTGTGCAAAATTCAGGAGCAAGCTGATAGCATGGAAAGATCCCAAGATTTGATGTCCCCGTATGACCTCATCAATCTAACTGGTCAATCAAGAACATGCCAGTAACACCAGCAGTTCTCTGTGTAGCCGACACCTCTACTAGATCTCATCCTGTCCTTTCTGAAAACCCTGCACCATTTTGGTTCTATTCATAGTGAGAATGCAATGAGCCTACAACTAAGTCCTCACGGATTTTTCAGTTTCTAGAGCTATTTACCAAAACATTAACACGATTCCTCTTGTAGTTTATACAAATGTGGAAAATACTAGCACTTGTAAAGACAGAACAGTGTCTGATATTTTTAAAGCATGTTACATGTTTTCTTCAGCCAACTTCCAGAGCTATATCAGATAGATACTGATTTGAACAAAGAGTAATTAAGTGATTATCAAGCCCCCAACAAAATGCTGTACACACCCTCTATAGAGAATATTCATAAAGGCATATGAAAAGTAAACATCAATCCATAGGAAGATGAGCAAATGCAGTATTAGTTTTGAATAAGACCTGGTTAAAAGGAAGTTAAGTTCTGCAGAAACCAAAATAGGTGCTAAACTAGTTGTTAAACAAGAAAGAAAGAAAAAGATGCCCAGTGGTGTCTCTGTACCACCAAATACTCACCTTTAAAGTTCTTCCAGAAAGACCAGCAATTTCCCCATCTTTAGGTTCCACAACGGTACACGTAGTTACATCACCACTGCCTGTTGTATCAATTATATCAATTATCTTGGGTTTCCCATCAGTTGTAACCTGAAAATAGGAGCACAGAAAAATAGCAAATGTAGTTGATTATTTTAGCACACAAACCAGGAAATTTTTTATTTTTGTTAACAGAATTATCAACTAACTTTCTTAAGCACCCAACATTTAACTGAAGGACATAAACTCAACTTGAAATTAGTTAAATTTTCAATTAATTAATAGCAACATGTCCATCTTTCTGGCTGATACAAATTCACTAACTCATTTCTAAAAAGGATTTAGAAGAGAAAGAAGTAAAAACATTGTATCAATAAAGCACAGGAGCCTCAATTTAAAACCAAGCCTAAATTTGCAAAACGATTTGCAAAAACTACTATTTGTATTCAAATTATTTGCTGCATTGCTTCTATCCCACCATTCTGGCCAACTTTTACAGTAATGAGCACACAACTAAAAATATGAAACATGGTGAAGCACATGCACTCACAAGCTTGAGTCTCTCACCTAAGCTTAAACCTAAAAGGAACACAAGTTAACCTCATCTTATTTTTCCTGTTTTAAGGATTTTGCTTCATGCTTTAATCAATCTGAAGTGTTAGGAGCTATGGCTATATACACCTAATATTGTATAAGGAGTATTTTTAGCAGAGTGAGGAGAGCTGATGAACTAAGAAGAATTTACAAGCATAAATTTAAAACCTCCTCAAATTAAATGAAAACTAGCCCTGATTGACTTGACAGTACTTGTAGGCAACTACACAACATCAAGAAACCACAAACGTAACTAAAGTTCCTTTCACCTAGAGGAACCTTCTACATGATTACTAAGAGTATGATTTTTTTTTTTTAAACAATTAGCAAAAATATTCAATGTTAGCTTTGTGTAATAACATGCTTTATCTAGTAGGTATTGTATGACTTTATTCAGCAAATAAACTATACTCCATATACAGTAGTATTTCCTTGAAGGGTGATATGAATTCAGAGGGCTGGAGCACCTCCCCTGTGCGGACAGGCTGAGAGCGTTGGGGTTGTTCAGCCTGGAGAAGGCTCTGGTGGGACCTTACAGCGGCCTTCCAGTGCTTAAAGGGGGCCTGCAGGAAAGGTGGGGACAGACAGATAGATACTGATTTGAACAAAGAGTAATTAAGCGATTATCAAGCCCCCAACAAAATGCTATACATACCCCCTATAGAGAATATTCATAAAGACATATGAAAAGTAAATATCAAGCAATCCATACGAAGATGAGCAAATGCAGTATTGCCTGTAGCAACAGGACAAGAAGTAATGGTGTTAAACTAAAAGAGGGTAGACTCAGATTAGATACAAGGAAGAGATTTTTTACACTGAGGGTGGAGAAATACTGGCACAGGCTGCCCAGAGAGGTGGTAGAAGTCCCATCGCTGGAAACATTTCAGGTCAGGCTAGACAGGGCTCTGAGCAACCTGATCTGGCTAAAGATGTCCCTGCTCACTGCAGGGGGGTTGGATTAAGTGACCTTTAAAGGTCCCTTCCAACCAAACTGTTCTGTGATTCTATGAATTAGCCACACGCACCCATTTTTACAGTTCCACATTAACGATTGATTTAAAATAAGAAAAAAATACATCAATAATCTTCCCAACATCTCCTATACACCAACTACACGGAAAGTGAAAAAAGGTTCTTGTTCAGAAAAGCAGAAATATTTGCTGGTTTTGACTACTGAAATATTTGGTATTGTTGTCTTTAGTCTCTATCAATAATTTTGATGCTAGACATAACATAGATGGCAGGTAGTTTTGCTCAAATCACGCTCTGAAATTGTGAATTCAGCTGCTGGAAGTTAACAGTATGATCAAGCTGTTCCATAAAAGCCACTCTGTTGCTATCAAAAAGACAACCAGGGTCAAGCTTTTATCACAACTCAACAAACAAGGACAAATACTTTCAAGGTCTCAAATTCTCATGGTTTAAAAAAAACTCCACAAACAAATAAAAAACCAAAACACAATCCCCCCTAAAAACCCCAAACAAAAAAAACTCAGCAAAACCACCCAAAACCCAAACAAATAGAAAAATAAAAGCAACCTCCCCCCCCAACAAAAATAGGTTTAAGCATCCCAAACCCATAGCAACCATGAAAAGGAATCATCAATTTCATTTCCTAGAAGGTAATAAATACGGCTTTTGAAGAGAGTTGCTAAGGAAGAACTTCCATTACAGAAACCAACACAGTTACTCTGTTCATAGAAATTCATATTTAGTTAAGAAAATTGTTAAAGCACATTAACTTGCTAAAACATCTACTGAACAACAGTTAACATAGTAGTGAAAAAATTACTTGGGAAATATAGTACGTAGGCACTCAAACCATGTAATTTTCTAGTGTTTGTAATTAGCGCCTTGAAATGCCAGCCTCCACTGACAGAAAAGTCAAGAGCTACTCCAATAACAAAGCAACTGCAAGCCAAACCCGAGATTATCAGAATCGGACATTTTTCAATATGCCTCTAATGAAAGAGAATTATTCAGTGATCAAAGCACAAGAAAACAAGAATGAAAACGTAATCCAAGGTGACTTGTTTGAAGTAGACTAGTTATACTGCAAGTGGTGGCCAGAACACAGACTTACGCTGTAGTGAGCTTGGGTAGTTTTAGAAGTTGTTTCCTAGCCAGAAAGACAATGTGCAACTCCTACACTATAGGATGCTTTGCCCCCTAGCTGAACAGCAGGTCCACACACGCATGTAAGTTTGTACAATTGGAATTAACAAATCAGAGTATTTCAGCCAGAGACAAGAAACTCAAGAGTTTCAGGTGCAAAGGTCCAAGGTTCAATTCCTAACGGCAGCGATCCAGACAGGTTCACAGTCATTTAGTGCAAGTAACCAATACGGCTTCTTCTGCAGACCTGAACCATTGTTTGGCATACTGCCCTTCAGCAGTAATGCTACAGTGAAACTCAGAGTTCAACTGGGTTTTCCTTCTCAAGTCTTGTAATTCTGAGGGGAAAAAAACAAAACAAAACAAAACCAAAACATCAAGTGAACTTGATCAACTCCCTTGTGTGAACAGAAAAATCCTAAAGTAAGTAATTTATTACAGATAGAAGGTATGTTTTACTACCTTTCCCATTAAAATTCAAAAAAATGAAGAACTTATACAATTAAAAATATTTTAGACTGTATTACAAAATCCCCAATCCTACCTTTAGTATCATGGTTTGCCTACGGACATTTGAAAAAATAAATCAGTCTACTAGTTTATAACTGAAAATTATTTTGTTGTTTTAGTTTGAAAAATATACTTTCATGTCAGCTCTGACTTTCTAAACAAATAAATTAGTAAATTGAGCACATTAAAAATAATCTATCTGCATAATCCTAGCAGCTGATCAGTGTAACAGAAGTAGAGGAGCACCAGTATCTGTGACAATCCCAAATTAAAAGGCAAAGCCAAATGCATTTGAGCATGTTTTTGCCAGACTATACAACCGATTGCTACTGACAGATATTGCAGCAACCAGAGATGAACAAGTTCTTCAGCACTTTGGTCACGGGACAGCTGATCATCACCACAAATAAAATAATTTTCAAGTAAGTTTTTTTTATACTCATAAAAGTACAAGTTAATTTTAGTAAATAATAATTCCAACAGGCACTTCACAAAATAAGCAAAATTGCAAGAAGCAGATGCACTGACTTACCTATCATGAAACATAACAAGAAGTGACAGCAGCAACAGGGAAAGGACAGGGTGGGGTTGAACAAAGTCTATACATACACAACCACAACGCTCCATTAAACATACCTTATCTGCCCACTTAAAATTTCATCAGTTGCTGAGCCTTAATGAGAAATTACAAGCCATGACTTGGCAGATGACAATATGAAATAGATTCTACCAAGAAGGCTGAGGAGGAAAAAAATTAGCACGAAAGCAGTAGGCAAACTGAACTTCACAGCTGGCATCAACAGGTGGAGTGAAAAGCAATGGAAGACAAGGTGAAAAGAGTTCCCTAGATGGCATTGGCTACAACAGATTCAGAAAGAAAAGGAAAGCAAGTCCAACTCAGATTAACACTGCGTGTGGCAAAGCAAGCCAACGAGTAGAAAAATGAAACAGATGCAAGAAGGTTTGTTAAGCCCAGTAACTATTCTCTCTATAGCAGCAAGTGTTCAGGGAAGAACACAGGCACAATGGTACTTCCCTGTTATATTCTGTCCCCAAATCTTTTTGTCCCTCAGCAAGTGAGCATATGCCACACATTTAGGATGCCAGTGTTTACAAACCGAAGTATAATATCAACAAGCAAAGGAACCCTACCCAGGAATTTAACACTAGGGAGCAACAGAACATGAGTCATTTTGTTTTGACTAAAAACCCCACTATATTCAAAACAAGGTAGGTCATTTTGGTCTGTAATCATTACTGATGTTAACTTGAACTCCAAGTTATAATACCTATTAACCTTGCTACGTATAATGCCTTCTCCTCCCTCTAAGCAACTGACACTATTCTCATAGTTCTAACTCCATGCCAGGCCAAGACCTGACAATAAGAAAAAGCAGCAGCAGAGAAGACAGAGACATTTAAAAAAAACCTCAAACATTCATCCCAAGGTTAGCAACTACTTGTCACAGTACAGCTACACTGTCTTGCAATATGTGCCCAGGACACTGTCTTATTCCGTGGAGGCAAAATGTAAACTTCTCAATTCTCCACAAAGTGAATACATCTTCTTGCTGAAAAAAACAACAACTACAAAGCTACTCCGTAGACTATGCACTGCCTACATCTCCTTCATAATTCCCTGTACAATAAGCCTCTCCCTTCTGTAGTTTAGCAAGTAGCCGACGTCAGGTACATCAAGCAGGCAGTGAGGAAAGAGCACACAGCTTCTTTATATCTTTCTCTAACATCCCTGCAAGCTCACTCTGACCCATTGCAAGATGAATTCCACCCACATGCACCCCAAAGTTCTCTACAAATCTTTTACTACACTACCTGAAATTTTATCCTCCACATCAAGAAAACAGGTTGAAGAAAATTGGTGTGGTCAACACTAAGACTGTGAGGGTTCACAGGTATCCTTTATTATCCCTTATGAGCCTTGGGTTACCTATCTCAGAACAAAGCTTCCCTCTAGTGCCCATAAACTCATGCTTTCTTTGTTTGATCACTCCTCACCTCTAGAGATTTAGGGGGTTTTGACTCCATACATGAAAATTCAGGACTATGCACATCCCATTTATATTCACATCTTCCTAATTGTCGTTTATTACTTTCTGGTCTGTCCATGGTGTAACTCCGTTTGCTTTTTGTTTAGCTTTCTTTAAGCTTCCTAATTACAATTCCACTTACCCACAACCTTTCACCAAAAGCACCAGTTTCATTCCAGCTTAAATCAATCAAAGTTGCAGCTGTTCAGTTCCTCCTTCCACTCTACCTGTCCTCTTCACTCATCCTTTCACTTACCCGAACACCACAGGGAGTCAGTTCAGAACACTAAACTAAAGATCTGCCAGGGTGAGGTTCCTGAACTAAGTCATTTAGGAGTAAAATCTGTGCCTGTGCCAAAGAAAGAGCAGAAACCAACACAGGCCCTGCTCAGTAAAAAAAATAAAGGACGCGGTATCCATGTCAGTTGCATACAACTCTCTTTGAATCATTTCTCAAGGCTTCCTTCGCCCCGTCTCAGAGAACACATCCTGACAAGAAACTGGAAGCAGTAGTGACATAAAAGGCCACATACAAAATTACAAGATAAAGAAAAATGTTAAGGGACAAGAATTAAAAGAAATAAGTACTGAGAAATGCCAAAATCAAAGTCACAGAAATTTACAAAACTGAGATTGAGACGATAATGGCAATCACTACGATCTGAGCTACAAAGCGAGCAGATCCAAAAGAAGCTGGCAGAAACAAATTTGATACAGACTGTTATTGTAATACAACGCACTAAAAATACACCGAGAAAGAGAGATATGAAAATTTTGCCAAAAATACACTCTCCATGTAAAACAGCTAAGCGGCTGTTTGTAGCCTCAAGCTACGCACGGCTGAAATAATGCTAAGGTTAACAAAAAACCGAAGTAACCTCTTACAATGAGTTCTATGGGAAAGAAGACAGCCAAAGAGGTTTAAGTACCATAAAACGCCTGTGAACGGCTTAAAAGGAGGATCCTTACACAAACCCCCGAACTGACCGTCGCGGAGCCCCCCCTCTATAGGATTCCTCCGCCCTCCCGCACCAGAGCCCACGCTCACGCCAATGTACGTTTAGCGGGAACGGTAAGCAAACAAACAAGTCCCCAGGACAGCCCTTCAGGGGCCTCCCCTGCTCTCGCCGACGCCTCGGGCCGCCCAGGGCGGGGGGCATGGCCGCTCCCGGACAAACACCCCGGCCCCGTACTCGTCCCCCCG